ATTGGGCCTGTTCTGTAGAGTTGGGCTTGTTCTGCTCCTCCAGCCTTTGGCACAGCTGTAGTTTGGTGTGTCAGGGACTGAGTGTTGCAGCTGGATCTGTGCAATTAGTCTTTCTTGTGCCATCCCTGAGTGCTCCTCCCATTCCTGATCTGACAGCTCAGTACCGGCTGTAGTAGCACTAGCTAGTACTAGCTAGTCTCTGACAAGCTTTTGCCCACAAACTGCATGAAACTTCCCAGAACGCCTGCAATAGTGTTTTAATTGCTCTTTGTTCTTTGTTCAGGACAAAAGAGACCTCCCAAAGTAAGAATTAACTCCTCGCTGCACTGCATGCAGCTAGCTGCCTTCCTCACCATGCATGCACATCCCTGTTCTTAGGGTAGGAAATAATGCCCAAAGACTCAACAAAATTGTGCTATTTGGTATCCTGAGTTTCCATAGTGAAGTAATTTTAGAAGTAACCAAGTGTCTGATTTTCAGTGGTATGCCTTCCCTGGAGTCACTGGAGTCACCCTGGCAGAGAAACTGGCCTAAAAGGAGGAGGGTGTACCTCTAGCTAGCCATGTTAGCTGGCTAATAACTGAGGAGGCAATGAAGTCACCATCTTACACAGCGTTTTGTCCATTGAGGGGTCTCTTGGACCTTCTTGTGCAGCAACCTGGGGTAGGGGACCCTCTGGTCTCATTCTGAATGGGAATTTCTGTACTTGTAGGAGTGTTGGTAAAGCCAAACTGTGGATGCACAGAAAATTGGACTTCTGGAGGTCTGCCTTGGAGTGTGGGAATTGGGTGCAGCCCTGTTTTTCACATAGGTTGGTGTCAGAAGACTGTTAGTTAAAGAAATCTTATACCTCAAAACTTCATGACACTTCACAGCAAGCTGAGCCTTTTTGCAGTGCAGGCTGTGTGTGCGTTGAGACAGTTCACTGCTGACTCAATGACACTAGAGAGTATTCTCCAGGCTGAATCCTGTGCTGTTATAAGGGAAGTTTGAGGAGGTGAGGAATATAAGCTTGGGTGCAATAGGAAGTGCCTGACTGCAGGACAAATCTTTTGTTGTGTTACGCATCATGAGTCATACCCGTGTACAGTGTTTAGGGGCAGCTCTGGCAGTCACACCACATAGGGAGCATCTGAAGCAGAGTTACACAGAGCAGTCATGGCTCTTTCTTAAAGAGACTTCTAAACTGTAATATTGTAACATGCAAGTGTTGGTCAAGAAACCGAACACTTCCCCTAGTTGTATGTACATCTGGGAGCAGTGGTTGCTGCTTCTTATTGAGCAAAGAGAACTGGCAACCCCTGGTCTGCAGCACAAACCAGAGCTGTGCTGTAATCAGGTATGATGGATTTTGAGAGTGCAAACATATTTAAAACCTCTAAAGTGCATGAGAAAGGATAGTTGTGCCCCTCTTGCCATTCAAGGTACGTTGCAGGACAGAGTGCCTGGCTGTGCAGGTGTCTATAATGAAGGACCAGTGGGAGCTGCTTGGGGACCTCTCAGATGGAGAGCTGTAACCCACCTGAAGGAGCAGCTGCTCAGCAGGCTCATTGTCTGCATTGGTGCTGTCACCACAATACCACCTTTGTGGATCTGGTGCCTGTTCTGGTGAGGACACTGCAAAACACGGAACAGAGCTGGTGTGAGCTCAGCAGTTGGTGTTCCAACTGATTCTTAGTCTCCACAGTGTACAACTCGCAGGTGGGTTTACATCCTTGTTGGCAGCTGTGCCTGACCCATGGCTGTCTTCTGCTGAGTAGACCTGGGCCTGCTTTTTCTCTTGGCTGTACTTGGGCACATGCGGCTGCTCTTGCTGTTCAGGACTGTGCTGGATTGTCACCCATGGGCTGGTGGCAATGCTCTTCTCACGGAGTCAATGTGGATAACTGCTCAGGTCTTCCTAGAGTGCGCTAGCAGCTGCAGCATGATGAGGCAATTGTCAACATGCAAACATGGCTGATAAATTCTTGCTTTGTGTAAAAAGCTACTTGTATAACCATGTCAGAGTATTGTGTTGAGCTCCTGTTATAAAACCATAGTTGTATTTCTGTTGTAGATGTGGGTTTGGCAAAATTGGGGCAGGATTATTTCATTGATTACCTGATGGGACCTGTTCAACAAGGCTGTTCCCACACTCCCTCCAACCCAAAGATCAAGCCTGTTCCTGTACATAATAGGTTTATGTGTGTGTGTAGTTATTGTTTCTTAGTGTGTTTTTGCCCCAATGTGGGTCCCAGTTACACAGCATGGAGCTCCCTGTGCTGGAGCGTAGCCACAGGGCTGCAGCAAGGAACCTCGCTTTTCATATGCTCTGAGATTTAGGCTATGCACACAATCAGGAGTTTCATACAAAGCAGCAACAAAATAATTCCTGCTTATAACAGCCAGCTCAAGCCACAGGTCTGGTAGGAGCTGTTTCATGGTTAGGCCATTTTATCATTGTGTTAGTTAAGGCTTGTGAAAAGCAGCTTTATTCATGGTAGTGGCAAGGATGGGACCAGGCTCAGGGAGCTGGCTGTCCCCTGCATCCCACTGCAGCTGAATCAGTGTGACGTTTGGTGCTGTCACTAGCGTGGAAGAGCTCTCAGTATGTAGATGCATATGTGTCAGGAATGTGGGCTGAGACACAGATTGTGTTCCTCACCTCAGAACTTGTATTGACAGGACAAACATCAGCCTGAGCAGACATGGCTGTGACGGATGAGAGCCTGTACTGAGTGCAGGACCAAATCATCAGATTTTGGTCTTCAGACTCCTGGTCAGATGAGAATTATATTTTTTTTAAAACTGTCTGGTCCAGCTGTGTGTAGGTTTCACCAGAGCTTGTATTATGTATTCTTAAGAGGAAAGAAAAGGTAAAATGCAGAGGTGAAATGACTCTACATAGGGATTGTACAACAAATATGAAAACATGCAGAGGAGACATGTAATAATTTGCGCTGCTGAGCATTGGATTTTGTTAGTATCACCCTTGTCCTGAAGACACCCTTTCCTGGCACAGTGCAGGCAGCAGGGTTGCTGCTGGAGGAGGTGATGTGGGTAATTGCTGGAGTATGGAGAGGGAAGCACTTCCTCTTCCAAACAAGCATGACTTTGTGCTCTCTGGTGCCTTGTCAAGGTCCTCTGGACCCAGGGTGAGATGGCAGCAGTGTAACCATGGCAGTGTTTGTCTCCGGTTTAATGACTCATCCCAGAGCATGTGATCATGTGTGCAGCCTCCCTGCTTCCCTTTGCCCTATTTCATCCAATCTTTAGATCTAGTTATATAACCAGAAGTCAGAGGGATAGGGAGAAGGAAACAATGCTGAAGAATTGCAGGTAATGTCACTAAAATGCGTCTGTAGCTCAAATAGCAGAGCTGGTGTCTGGGAAGCTTGGGAAACTGGGTTTACTCCCAGCACAGTTCTCTGCAAGTGAGCATGATGCATGATATCTGAGTTTGTAAGGCTAAGGAGGCACGGTGAGAGCACAGGACTCCCAAGGCCTTGGCTGTGGTAGAACTGCCATGCTTACAGGAGCCAAGCCCTTTGCCTTTATCTTAACATGCAGCATAACTCTTCTTGCATTCATCATGAGATCTGTTTCATCGCATAAGCCATGGATACCTGTTTTTCCAGTATGTGTAGGACTTGCTGAGACTGATGTTCACAGAAATGTTTGAACTACTCTGCTTGTATTGGTCCATGGTGGGGTGAGCCCTGAAGTCCTAGATGGATTCTGACGTAGCAAATGCTGGCACAGGTCTGGTGGGATGCCTGGAGACCGATCTTGCTAAGTTGGTGCTTTTGCCCAAGGTGTGAATCTGCTTCTTGTCATCTCAATTTTGAGAGGTGATACTGAGGTGATACTGGTGGTAAGGTGAGTTTAATAGGCATATTAAACATATGTAGGTGCAACATGCTGCACTGAAGCATCCTTCACAGCTCTTTGAGAAGGGGTGCTCTTTGTCTACAGATCCTACAGTCACAATGTGATGCTTATTGGTTCTGTATTACTTCATTTGCCACATTTTTCTGTACTGATATCTTCTTCCCTTCAAAGTTCTGTCTAAGTGTCATTTCAGTTCAGTCATTATCTCAGATACACAGTGTAAGCAAGAAAGCTGATTATGAGATGAGGTTCAGGGTATCTCTTTGCCTGACACAAGGGGACAAGATGCTTCAAAGAAGCTATTACAATGCCTGTCAGAAATAGTTTGCTTCAAGGGAAGCTTTTGAACAGAAACATTTCCTTTCCATGCTCTGGAAGCATTAGCTTGGTCACTGGCAGCCTGTTGAAGAGCCAAGTGTCACATAGAACAAGATGCCATTTCATATAGTGCTTTAAGAGTGAAATCAGGCACTAACAAAAGTCTGAAAATGGGAGTATGAAGAGGAAAAGAGGTGCATGTGATTTATAATGTAGAAATAGTATTGCCACTTACTTTTTGTTGTTTTTTTTTAAAAAGCTTGCCAGAAGTTACCATTTAAATTTTGAGAGGGAGGCCTGGTGCTCAACCCACTGAGCTACACAGTGTTTGAGCCAGATAACCTCTTGCATGCTATGTTCTGTTAACTTGGATGGTGGTTACACAGGTGTCATTTAATGGAAATTTCTGCCCCACTTGAATGCTGTGAAACAAAGACAGAGATTTAAGTTCCTTGTTTTTTTAATTAGAGCTAATCGGGCCCCTGTAGGAAAACAGACCCTCAGAACAGCAAGTGCTCGCATGGACTGAAATAATTTTGCCTTGTTTTCTTATCAGGACACTTTTGGGCTGTGTTGAGTGGGTGTTGGTCTTGGCTTTCATTGCAAACAGACCCTTCACTGTAAAACTTTTTAACGCTCTTTGGCTGTCAGAAAGGACCCCAGATTTGACTCTCAAGGAAACATGCTTGCAAATGAGGGAGAACAGGGATTGTCGGTTCCCATTCAGCTCAAATCCTGATGAATGCTCATGTAAAAGCCAGCTGCCAGCTTGGCACAGCTGTTCTCATGTCACGGCCTTCTTCCCTTTTCAGACCAACCCCAAGAAGCTGTGTTCAGTGGTGACCATGTTGAACACACGGAGGATGGAGAATGGCAGCGCTCGACTTCAACTACCTCATCTCAGAGTGAGCGGGCAGAGCAACTCTTGCAGAACCAGCACAAGAGCCTGGCCTCTGAGGACACCAAAAAGAAGAGGGCTCAGAAACCGTCTCACATGCGGAGGAACATAAGGTAAGCAGCAGCAGGACAGGGTCACATACAGCCCTTTGCATGAAAGCACAATCTCTGGACTTGCTTCTGAGCAATGTTTTGCCACTGCTGGCAAACCAGATGGTTTTTCTTTTTCAAAATTTTAGGATTTCACCAGTGGGAGTAGTATGATCTCAGACTGGAGTGCTGCATGTGGGTGCAGACTTGTTTGGTATTTCAAAAGAGTGAATATTTGGTTATGGAATATATTGCAAAAATTGTGTAATTGCTGCTGGCTTTTAAGACATGCCATTGAAAAACAGCACCTCCATTAAGTTAATACCAGTTTCTGATATTTGCTGAGGAGGATCCTATTGAAAACAGCCTAAAATACAGTCCTTTCCTGTACTATCTTACTCATTGGCAGGGATGCTGATGATACGACAGGTGAAATGTGGGAAATCAGTTTTACATGATTTATAAAGCAGTAATTGTTTGATTGTATAAGTTATCACATATTTTGGGACAGGTTATGAGGTGGTTATTCACTAGGAAATTTTGTTCAAAATTCTCTTAAATGCTCAGAGGAGTCCTAATGGAGCAGGAACTCCTGGGGCAGCAAGTGGCCCTCTTGCTCTCTGTGTAATGTGCTGATGGTCTCTGGTTTAAACCTTTAAGTTTTTGCAGATTGATTTTCTTAAAGCCAAAGGAATAAGCATTGAGTGGGCCTTGGAAACTGAGACTTCATTAGGATGGGGAAGATGTCCCTGAAGTATGTGACTTGATGCTTTTAAAGGCTAGTTTGAGGTAGCTGGATTCTACTACTGCTTGTACTGCACCTCTCCTCTGGCAAAAGCCCCTTCGTTTCAGGGCTGCACATGTGAAACTGAAGCAAGGTTGGAAGTAAAGAAAATTACCTGTAAAGGGAAGATGCTTTGAGAGCATCCTTTGAAACAATTGCTAAAGCCACTCGAGGTCCTGGTTCCTGAAAATGCTATGACAGAGGAGAATCAGGGCGATGACTTTTTGTGGCATAAGTGATGCCTTTTCTTTCCATATATTGTTTTTGGACAACTTTCTGCATTTTCTGTTTATAAACAGCATAGCAATAAAAAAAATCCTTTCAGATAGAAGAATTAGTCTCTGATTAACCTAGTTTAAGTATGTGCTTACCCCCTCATGTTTTTCCTTCTTTCATTATTTTGCTCCTGTCAAACTTTGTCTTTTCCTTGACTAAGAGTAGTGTTACCTGTAGTTGGGAAGCAGTCTTGAAATAGCTGTAGAATTTGTCTGTATCTTTTGACAATGATGTTTCTAGTCTGTGTAGCTGACAGAATACCTGGAGCTTGTCAGTCATTTTTTGAGCCAGCTGTACAGTCCTTCATGTTTTTGGAAAAAATTGTTTGAGTCTAACCAAATCACGTCTGCTCCTGTGTTCAGAAAGCTGTTGCGTGAGGACCAATTGGAAGCTGTGACAAAGGTAGCCCAGCAGGAAGAGTTGGAGAGAAGGAAACGACTAGAGCAGCAGCGGAAGGATTATCCAGCCACTATACCAACTGTACCCCTTGAATTTCTTCCTGGTAAGCAGTGGAAGGTGCCAACCAAAGCAAGAGTTTTAAGGAAAGAAGATGAATGAAGAAGGGATGCCATTCTTGTCCATGATGGGACAAGGGGTAATGGTTTTAAACTGAAAGAAGGTAGATTCAGGCTAGATATAAGGAAGAAATGTTTTACAATGAGGGTTACATGGGTTGCCCAGAGAGATGGTAAATGTCCCACCCCTGGAAGCATTCAAGGTCAGGATGGATTGGGCTTTGAGCAACCTGATCCACTTGAAGATGTCCCTGCTCATGGTAGGGTGTTGGAGTAGATGGCCTTTGAAAGTCCCTTCCAGCCTAAATAATTCTGTGATTCTATGCTGCCCTTGGACTTTCAAGTCTAAACTCTAGAAACAGCAGTTTCAAATCACTTGTCAGTTCAGTATAGGCAGTTTCACTTCTGAGCTTGTTTTGAATCAAGATGCCATGGGCTGCATGGGGAAAGGTGTCAGCCAACTTTTGTTGAAGTTATTTTGACGCATTAATTGCATTTAGGGGGATCCTGGAACAGTGTTCTCTTGTCTTTCCAACTGGTATGGGAGCTTTAACCAATCGCCTTGCCAGAAATGCCGTGTCCTTGGTCCAGACCCTCTTTTACTGCACATGGTCTGCTAATGCATTGGTCTGGTAATGGGCATAGTGCAACAATAAACTGGGTGCACATATGTTTATGATGTCTTTTGATGAATATGTCACCTAGACATATCCTAACCTGGATAATTTTGGTGATCCAGTTTGTAGCACAGCCTCTCTCTAGTTTAAAGGGCAGAGAAGTGCAGTTCCAACTGTACTTTGTTGTGTTGGGAGCAAGGAGTTCTTGAGTTGACTTTCCCTCTTGAGAAAGTGTATATTCTCCCTTACGTGAAAGTGTCCAAAATGCTTTTACATGGGGGAGAAGGAATAAGAGATGTTTAAAACACTTTGACTGTTGCAGAGTAGGTTGCAGCTCCTGAAGAATGTCGTTGCTTGCTGAGTCACTGCACTGGTGCTGTTTGGCCCTGTAGCCTCTCTCCCCACATGACAGCACTTTAAACATGCAGACAAATGCTCTTGATCAGCAAAAGTTGTTTAGGATATGTGGGATGTAATTATTATGGTGTCCCTACTAACAAAGGGCAGCTATCATCCCTTCAGCAGCTGGTACTTTCTCTGCTGGATGAAACACAGCTTTTACTTCTGAGATCAAAAAACCCCTGAGAAACAAAGGACTTTAGCATGTTGCGTGGTCAGTGTGCCCCAGTCAGGGCATGCAGCAGAGAGGGTGCCCTCAGCAATGGGCTATTGTTTTGGCATATTGAGAAAGGAGGAGAGTGTGACCCAGGAAGCTGAGTCATAGTAGTATTGTAGACAGTGAGAGTTTGTTATGGAAAATTCCAGGACTAAGTTATTGGAGCAAAAGTGGAAGGAAACACTGTCTGGTTTCTGAACAGTTTTGTCTCCTTCCCCATTATTATGAATTACTTACTGTTTGTAATTTATGATTGTAGAGGACATCGTTTTCAGAACAGCAGAGGCTGCCCAGCTCCCCCCTCAGGTCCTGACTGAGGAAGTGATCTGCCTCGACAGTACCAGCAGTGGCAGTGAAGATGATGCTAAAGGAAAAAATAGCATTAAAGATGGTAAGTGACCAATTGCCTCAGCCTGGGCTTCTCACAATATGCTGTTTATTCAGCCACAAGTCTGTTCTCATCTGGTCAGATGCTGCAGTGGTGAATCACTTCAGATTTTTGTAGGCTTATTGGTTTCCAAATATATGGGCAGTTCTAGCCTTTGAGTCCTAAAGTGACATTTATAAAATGGCCTGTCAGGCACTCTTGTGAACTTGTCCTTATTACTGCTTATCAATGCGCTTAACTTTGCTCACTGCTCTGCTGAAGAATGCTTACATGTGATGTGGCATCATCTGCCGTGTATTCAGATCAGCCGCGGAAAGTGTTTTTTGTGTTCTGTGTCCCAAATGGATCTAACCTGACTCCATTACTGTCCTTTACTCTGGTACAGTACTTCTGCCCAATTTCCTTGGTGGTCCTTAGACATTGCATTAGTAAATAAAATGCGTGTCTGGGTTTGGGAATTGAGAGGACATACAGAGGAGAATGTAAAACATTTACAGAAGCAGTCTTATATTCCATTTGTATCAGCCCAAATTAGTGTTCTCTGAAGCATAAGAAAGCTCAGGAAAGCTCCTGCTTTCATATACTAGTCTGAAGGGCCTGCTGTGTGCCTGTGTCACAGAATCATCAGTGTTGGCAGAGACCTTTAAGATCATCAAGTCCAACCATTAACCTGGCACTGCTGTAACCCCTAAACCAGATCCTCCAGTGCCAGATCCAGACACCTGTTAAACACTTCCAGGGATGATCAGCTCCCTGGGCAAACGTATTCCAATGCCTGACTACCCTAACAGGGAAAACATTTTTCCTGCCATCTGATCTGAATTGCTCCTGTCTCAGCTTATGACCATTCCCTCTAGTCCTCTCCCTGCAGCCGTGGCAGGAGAGACCATTCCCCACCTCTCTCAAACCCCTGTCAGGTAGTTGTAGAGAACAATGAGGTCACCCCTGAGCTGCCTCTTCTCAAGGCTAAATAAATAAACCAAACTCCCTCAGTCCTTCCTCATGCGACTTGTGTTCTAGACCTCTCTGAGCCTCACTGCCCTTGGCTGGAATCGTTCCAGTGCCTCAATGTCCGTTTTAAAGTGAGGGGCCCAAAACTGAACACAGTGCTCACAGTGTGGTCTCACCAGTGCTGAGTACAGGGGGATGATCCCTTCCCTAGTCCTGCTGGCCACACTACTTCTGATATATGCCAGGATGCTGTTGGCCTTCTTGGCCACCTGGGCACACTGCTGGCTCATGTTCAGCTGCTGTCAACCAGCATTCCCAGGTCCTTTTCTGCCAAGAAGCTTTCCAGCCACTCTGCCCCTAGCCTGTAGTGCTCCATGGGGCGGCCATGACCTGGCACTTCACCTTACTGAACCTTATGCAGTTGTCCTCAGCCCACTGATCAACTTGTTCCAGGTATCTCTGTAGAGCTTTCCTACCCTTGGCAGATTGACATTCCCACCCAACTTAGCATCTTCTGAAAATTCACTGAGGGTGCACTCAATCCCCACATCCAGATCATCAATAAAGATGTTAAACAGGACCTGCCCCAGCGCTGAGCTCCGGGGAACACCACCAGTGACCAGCCCCAGCTGGATTTAGCTCCATTAAACACAACTCTCTGGGCCCAGCCATGCAGCCAGTCTTTTACCCATCGAAGAGTCCACCCATCCAAGCCACGAGCAGCCAGATTTTTTTAGGAGGATGCTATGTGAGACAGTGTCAAATGCCTTACTGAAGTCCAGATAGACCATGTCCACAGCCTTTCCTTCATCCACTGGGCAGGTCACTGTCATAGAAGGAGATCAGGTTGGTCAATCAGGACCTTCTTCCGTAAATCCATGTTGGTTGGACTTGATGCCCTGGTTGCCCTGCAATAAATTTATAATTGCAAGTGTGATGGCACTCAGGATGACCTCCTTCGTGACCTTGCCCAGAACCGAGGTTAGGCTTACAGGCTTGTAGTTCCCTGGATTCTCCTTCCAACCCTTCTTATAGATGGGCATCACGTTTGATCATTTTCAGTCACCCAGAACTTCTCCACTTATCCAGGACTGCTGGGAGCTGATTGCAAGTGGTTTGGCAAGTTCTTTTGACAGTATTGTGCCTGCTCCTTCCGAATAGGTATTAGGCCAGTGTGGAATTGCAAAAGGTGCTGGTAGCCTTATTTCCTGGTAGGTTTTTTTCCATACATTATACACCCTGGTATCAAGATAACCTTTGCCCTTTTTCTCTCCTATTTTGGTTACTCTACAGAAGTGATTGAACTGAGCTCAGGAGAGGATGATGCCCTCCAAATTGTGGACAGCAGTGACTCTGACAATGAAGGGGAAGAGGATGGCAGTGAAGAGAGCAGTGGTTCTCATGTGAATGATGCCTTAAATCAGTCAGATGCTCTGGGGCAAGTCATTGTCAACATCAATCATCCACCAAACGAAGAGGACATTTTCCTGGCTCCCCAGCTTGCACATGCAGTAAAACCTCATCAGGTAGGCTTTGTTAGCCTTGCAAATGCAATGAGTTCATGCAAGCCTACCTTGGAATCTCAGCAGAACTTCTTTGGTGAGCTCTGTGACCAGTCTGGTTGTGCTGGTGGCTGTTGTGGATAGTCAAATAAGGACAAACTAAAGGGAGGCCAAGACTTTTGTGTAACTTTGACTATTGTTATTATCAGGCATTTGTATATTTAGAGGAACATTTTCAAAACAAAATTAAGTTTATAAACAAAGTAATCAACCCAAATTCAGATTCTCTGGCTACAAATTAGTTTTGATTTATTATTATATTCTCAAGAAGTTTTACTAATATCTAAAAATACTGAGCTTCTGGACCTTCACTAGATTTGAGGTACTGTAGTGAACTTGAAACATCCCCTTTATGTTTTCATGGTTTATGCAGTCCTAATGTACTTGCCACTCTGTAAATACATACCCATCTCGGTTTTTTTCTCTCCCACCCTTCTAAAACCTTTTCTACTTTTCTGTCTAGATTGGTGGGATCCGATTCCTGTATGACAACTTGGTCGAGTCCTTGGAGAGATTTAAAACCAGCAGTGGGTTTGGGTGCATTTTAGCACATAGCATGGGCCTGGGCAAGACCATACAGGTCATCTCTTTCTTGGATGTACTTTTTCGGCACACAGAGGCAAAGACTGTTCTTGCCATTGTACCTGTAAGTAGCCACATGAAGGGCTGGCTGAGGGTCTTCCTTGTACTACTTCTTTCTTTGCATAGAGAAGACTGATTAGGGTCCTCTCTTGTGTCAAGCTCTATCCTACCCTTGTTGCTTTGCTCCCTCTTTCATTCCCTGTCTCCCTGAGTTTGCATGCTGTGGGCTGCTGCTTCCATCTGAGCCCAGCTGGGTGTCATTCCTGATTCTCATTTTTGCTCTTAAAATCTGGAGTGACTCAGTTGGATTTTTAATCCTTCCATGGCTAACTTTTCCAGGTGAATACACTCCAAAACTGGCTAGCAGAGTTCAACATGTGGCTCCCAGCACCTGAAAACCTTTCTGCTGATTATAACTCCAAAGAGGTCCAGCCCCGCACCTTCAAAGTCCACATCCTGAATGATGAACACAAGTAGGTGCCAGTAAAAGACTTTCTGAGTTCTTGCTCCATGTCTTAGGGAACTGTTATCAGAGTTGCAGTTGCGAATTGTTCAGTTTGGACTAATTCTGTGCCCTTGATTCCCAGATATTTTCCACTCTGCATTTATTGTCGATGCAGTCTTGAGAGGAGGACTTTGGTACCTGTGAGAGATTTACTACTGTTCCTTTCATTCAATATTTCTATCTTGTACTTCCTTCTCACACTGCTGACACACCTTCTGTTCATCCATGTGTGCTAAGATCAGGAGCCCAGTTCCAGAGACAGAGCTACCTCTGTAGAGAGGAGCAGAAGTCCTCTGACTTGTTTCTGGTGAGACACTACTACTCGTGTCAGAGTCCTGGGGTTCCTGAGACATGTGCCCCTATACCGTATTTCTTGTATTTCAGATGTGGGTTGGTTTTTTTTCCTGAGATTTTTCACACACTTAGGGATTCCTCTACCTGACACTGTGACTTTCTGTGAATTGTGTTGTCCTTGAGGGATTCTGGCAAATTATACAAAGCCTTCTTGTCCAGAAGGGAGAGATCAGTGATTGCAGTTACAGCCTGGTGTGGAGTGTGTTCTTGGCTTGTGGATCTCTGCTTCTTTCTGGGTCATTTTCCTTGCATGGATCAGGACAGTGCAGTGATCCTAGGGAATTCTCAGTTCACTGGCTGTGTTCATACACCTGCCTGTTGAGGTCTTCACCTTCTGAGCGGGATATACTTTAAATCTGCTAATGCTACTCCAGCCATTTGTTTACTATTGGACAGGATCTGGTGTGCTCTGGTGGACTGAGTGAAGACAGTGTCTTGATCTGAATGAATTCTAAGCAGACTATCAGGGAAGTAATAATTGGGGGGTCACAAGCGTTGGAGGAGACAGCAACAAGGGATTACAACCATGTGCATTAGCACCTCATTCTGAAAATGTTTTTTGAAGAAGCAGACTCAACAGAGTGCTCTCAAGTTTGATATGCTTTTGTGCATCACAGACTTCTACAGCTCAGTTGCTCTAAGGATTTGTCATTTGCAGCCCTTCTACCTGTGGCACATAAAAGCCTTTTTTTTCCTCTGTACCGGATTATTTCCTAAGGAAATGTCACTGTATTCGTCCATCTGGTTTATTACAAGAAAAGTGCTTTAATTAATTGAGCAGGTCTTCTTTTCTCAGCAGACTCCAATCCAGTGATTCATCCTGAAACTGGAGGAAAGCTTACAGTTTATTTGGTTGATTTGCTTATTTTGCAGGACAACAGCTGCACGTGCAAAGGTGGTGAATGACTGGGTGACAGAAGGCGGTGTGCTGCTGATGGGGTACGAAATGTATCGTCTCCTCTCACTGAAGAAGTCCTTTGCCACTGGCAGGAAGAAGAAAACAAAGAAACAAGCTGGCCCTGTCATTATTGACTTGGATGAGGAAGACCGACAGCAAGAGCTTCTGAAAGGTGGGAGGCCAGCCCTCAAGAAGGAGAGTGTGATCTTGCTGTGCAGCTGGCTATCAGCTGTGACAGCACAGGGAAACAACCTGTAACTTGTTTTTAGCATCGCGACATGTTTTAGCTAGGCAGGATTGTGTCTTTGGAGGCAGAAGGTTGTTGAGCTTTGGCCGGGTCTTTCATTTTTTGCAGTAGCTGCAAGTAAGCATGGAAGCTAATACACTGAACTCTGGGATTCATTGGTGTGAGATTTACCAGTCTGCTCTGATGCAAGACACCCAACTTGATGCAATGCAGGTCATTGAGCAGAAATCAAGGGGCACTTAGGTTTGCTCTTACCACGTTATGCTAAATTGGAGCTAGTGTCTAGTAATATTTTATCTCCTGAATTAGCCTTGCTCTCTGCACCCATGAATTCTGCTTTTTTTTGTCTTTCGGAACTGCCCCTCCTTTTTGAAGCTGGTGACCGTATAAACCCAGAACTTTTGTTTTACTCATCCCTAACTAGCACTTAATGTTCCTTGTCCTCAGGGATTGAGAAAGCTTTGTCTCGTCCTGGCCCAGATGTGGTTATTTGTGACGAGGGACACCGGATAAAGAACTGCCATGCCAGCACGTCGCAGGCCCTGAAGAACATCCGCTCCCGACGGCGGGTGGTCCTGACTGGCTACCCCCTCCAGAACAACCTCATTGAGTACTGGTGCATGGTAGACTTTGTCCGACCTGACTTTCTAGGCTCACGGCAGGAATTCAGCAACATGTTTGAGCGCCCTATCCTGAACGGGCAGTGCATTGACAGCACCCCCCAGGATGTCCGTCTGATGAGGTACCGCAGTCACGTCCTGCATAGCCTGCTGGAGGGCTTTGTGCAGCGGTGAGTCCACCCGGAGTTCTTCGTGGTGTAGTCCATGCAAACAGCAACTTCACCCCAAATTAGCCTTCTTGTTTGCTGAGTTTATGCAGTACAACTAAATCTTGCTGCCTTATAGAATCATGGAATCATTTAGGTTGGAAAAAACCTTTCAGGTCACCAAGTCCAACTGTTAACCTAACGCTGCCAAGTCCACCACTAAACTACATCCCTGGGTGCCACATCTACACATCCTTTAAATCCCTTCAGGGATGGTGACTTCCTGAACAGCCTGTCCAATACTTGATCCCCCTTTCCCTGAAGAAAGTTTTTTCTAATATCCAATCTAAACCTCCCCTGACACAATTTGAGGCCGTTTCCTCTTGTTTTGTTGTGTGTTACCTGGGAGAAGAGTCTGACATCCACCCGGCTCTGCCCTCCTGTCAGGTAGTTGTAGAGAGCAAGAAGGTCCCCCCTCAGCCTCCTTTTCTCTAGGCTGAACCCACATCAGCTCCCTCAGTCACTCTTCATCAGACCTGTGTTCCAGGCCCTTCCCCAGCTCTGTTGCCCTTGTGTGGACATGCTTCAGCCCCTCAATATTTTTCTTGTAGTGAGGGGCCCAAAACTGAACCCGAGGTACAAGGGGATGGTCACTGCCCTGGTCCTGCTGGCCACACTGTTTCTTAGAACTCTGTTTTGCCTTGGGGTTAGAAGTAAAGATGGTTTGCTTTGGTACCACAGACTCTGATAACAGAGAACAATACCTCTAAGTGCACCAGAGTGACCTCAGGTTTATTTTGGTGGCTTAATAGTTGATTAGGGCATGCACTTTATGACATCCTCTACCAAAGGATCTGAACGTGTTTCATGAAAGTGGTATGAGAAGTGACAGTGCCTGTACTGCTCTGGAAACAAATCAGCTTTTTTTTCTCAGATGGGGGTTCTAAGATGCTGGACCAGTGATTTAGATAGAGTGTCTTAATCACTGGCAGAGCTCAAAATAGACCTTAGGTCTTATTTCAGTTTTTCAGCCACTATGGAAAACAGGACTTTCATTACTCTCTTAACACTGTGGCCTGTGCTAGTAGATTGTAACGTTTGAGATTTCTGTAGTTGTGTTTACAGTTGGTATTTGGCTGCAGGGAGAACATCTCGAAGTGTGGTGCATTAGAGACAGGCAGCCACAGAGAGATCAGATTGGAAAATTCCCTTCCCTGTATTTATCTTTCTCTTTTTTGTTTCCTCCACAGGCGAGGCCACAATGTACTGAAGGTTCAGCTCCCATCCAAGGAAGAACATGTCATTTTGGTACGTCTGTCAAAGATCCAGCGGGCGCTTTATACAGAGTTCATGAACCGGTTCCGAGATGCAGGCAACAGTGGCTGGCTGGGCCTGAACCCCCTCAAAGCTTTCTGTGTCTGTTGTAAGGTAGGTTTTGGCGGGAGATGCAAAGAAATACTCTAATATGTAAGGAAAAGGTGGGAATATGATACGTCAAAACAGGAGGTGAAAGTGTGGTTAGCCAGGGACATCTGCTCTCCCTACAGTCCTCTCCAATGGCTGAACACAATTGTTATCTCTGCTTCCAGAATGGGGGTGCAGGGATGTTAAATGTCTTTTTGAAATTGTGCAAGAAACCTGCAGCCATTAGCTGAACCAATACTGGGCTGGTACCCTAACCTCCATAACCTTACCCCTTTCCTCTGGATTTGTGCTCTGTGGAGTGTACAGTGAGTGGCCGCCTGGTTTGTTCTCAGGGAAGGAACTGGGCACTTTTAAAGACATGAGATCTTTGGGTAAGAAGATTTATACCTTGTGCCATGGCAGACTTAGTTTTTTTGGTTTTCACTACCTTAATGCAGTCAGACTGGTTTTGTCTGCACTGTCTTACAGTGCCATGTGGGGATGGTGAGGAGATGATTGAAGTATTAGTTCTTTCCTTTGAATAGCTGTGGGGGCTTTCAGTCCATGATCATTGGCAAGCAGCAGGCCTCTTCTAACCACTTGCTTTTCTTACCCCTTCAGATCTGGAACCATCCAGATGTGTTGTATGAAGCTCTGCAAAAGGAGAATCTGGCAAATGAGCAGGATTTGGATGTGGATGACCTTGGCACAGCAAATAGTAATTCCCGCTGCCAGGCTCAAGGAATTAAAGTCAAAACAGAGAGTAATGCTTTGGCATCATCAGTTGGAGAAGCTACCAATAGCAAGTTCCTCCAGAGCGTTGGTTTCAACCCTTTTCAGGAGAGGGCAAATCAGGTTGTAACATATGAGTGGGTGAGTGCCACTGCTGGAAACCTCTTCATTTGGAGAGTCTGAAAGACTGTACCATTTTGTTAGGGCAAGTTTCTGAAGCAGGGCAAAGAGAAGACTCTTCTGTTTGAGCTGTGGGTTTCTCTTCCATTTTCTTTACCACAGAGCATCTTGATAAGCAGATCTGCGCTGTGCTAGGAGGGGTTTGGGACTCTTGTGGGGCAGGAGTGCAGTCAGCACTCTTAGACCATTGTTTTCATGTGACCAGAAAGGCCATGGACTTTGTTATTCTAAAAAAGATTATTAGGGTGAAGTTCGAACTAGATGAGATGGTGGTAAATCTAGAGGGCTGGAGGAAAGTGCTTGAGATAAGAGTCACGAGAGGTTAAGAGGACACTCATTCATCTAATAAGTTTATCATTTGGAGCTTCTGGAATGGGAAGTAGCAGCAGTAGCTGGGAGTAACATTGTCACCTCCATCAACTGGATGTAAATATCCTCTTTGCAATGACTTATTTCTTTCACCTTGAGACAGGGTTGTTGAACTAAACAGGGAATGAGCATCTCCACCTGTAATAGTCTCCTGTTTCTTGGTAGGCCAAAGACATCTTGTGTGATTACCAGACAGGAGTCTTGGATAACTCACCCAAGATGGTGTTACTGTTCCACCTGATTGAGGAAAGTGTGAAGCTTGGAGACAAGATCTTGGTCTTCAGGTAAGCAAAGTATCAACAGCTGATCCTGCAGCCACTAAACACTGGAGTAGTTGGATCCCACCTGGTAGTAGGTTGTTGTTACACAAGTCGAATGGTGTGGCAGTTCCCCTTTTCTCCTTTGTTGTATTAGGTCTTGGGTTTCCCCCATGGATTTATACTTATGCCCCAATCAATTTACTAATGAGAGAAGTGCTGCACAAATGGAATTTGACAACTGTCAGTGCTGTAATGGTTGGGGAAGGGTTCTGATACTCCACTTTTGCTGCTGGGGGGGCTTTTTCTTGAACAGAGATCTTGGTTTTGCAGCCAGAGCTTGTCCACCTTATCTGTCATTGAAGAGTTTTTGGCAAAGAGACCGATGCCAAATCCTCCAGGCTCAGATGGAGGAGTTCACAACTGGGTCCGAAACATCAACTACTACAGTGAGTACAGCAAATCCTCCTCACTTTTGGTGTGACACTATCCTCTGTGATAGACTAATTCCTGAAAGTCACCCACCGTCTTCCTGGAGTTGTCGTTGGGTGTGAAAATGCTCTTCTGACACATTTTTCTGATTAATTTCTTTCAGATTGCTCTTACTTTAGTTGTTTGAGAAGACAATGTCAATTGGATAGGAGCTAACTGATAGTTTCTCAGTCCTCTTTTTGGCATGTTACTTAGAAGATGTTAGATATCTTTAACATCTCTTTAACGCACTACTGCTCTTTTAAGTTGCAAAAGATCCTTTTTGCGTCATGTTGGGATATTTGCTAGACCTTGCTTCTGAACCAGGATAACTGTGGAATGCTTTCACTAGCTTAGGACTGCAATTTCCTCCTCCTCTTCTCTTCCCCAGCTTTAAATCTTGTTCTAGCATGGATTATTGCTTTGTGTGGCTACTTTACAGGCCAGGACTGAGAGCAGTGATGTAGATATGGTGTTCCTGATTTTTGTAGAGCTGCCAGAAGTAAGCTGCTGCCCAGGAACAGAGACATGACACCCCCTGCACTCCCTTAGACAAGTACTCTCTATGCTCAGATCTAGTCTTTGGGGATATGCCAAAGGTTTTATTTACAATTTTGCTTTCTCTTAGTTCCTGGAGCTTCCAGCATACATGACACCTTTGTTCCTGCTGTTCATGCTTGCTATCCATCTTGCCTAAAGCAGAGCCTTTATTGGGCTAAATGTGTTGTAGCATTCCTACTCCTGGCCTTGGCAAGCTTGAGTAATACTTTCCTTGATCGTTCAGTTGAACAAATCCCAACCTGGCTGGTTGCATTGTAGCTGCCAGGCCAGGCAAATTAGAGGTACAGAGTGGTTCACTTTAGGTCCTGGAGTGCATGACTTGAGGAAGACCTAAGATTAGTTTGGAGCCCATTTTTGGGCTTGGTGTTTGAAAAGTGGGTTTGTTGTGAAAGAATTCTCCCAAACATACAAAGCTTTTAAATGTGTCTTTACTTTCCTTCTCAGGACTGGATGGCAGCACCTCTGCCTCGGAAAGGGAGCGACTGATTAACCAGTTCAATGATCCCAGCAACACCTCTGTTTGGCTCTTCCTTTTGTCCACACGGTAAGTTGGCTGGAGCAGAAAGACACAGTGGAGGGCTCACACTGTTTTGTATGCATATGGGCTTTCAGTTTTTAACTTCTTCATAATATGCTCTCAAGACTCCATGGAATGATAGTGTCATCTGCTTCTGAATTCCTCAGGGATGTAGGATTTCAGCCTTAGTCCTCTGCAACAACTTAACAGTCTTGGAAGCCAAACCTGGGTTTAAAGTTTGACTGGAAGGAACTTTATGTAGACATGTCATGGACTCTATGATGGTTGTCCCTGCCTAGAAGTTTTGAAAATCAGCCAAGGCAGCAGTTTGAAATTTGCCTTTGATTTCTAGTGCTGGGTGTTTGGGTGTCAACCTCATTGGAGCAAACAGAGTGGTGGTGTTTGATGCTTCTTGGAACCCGTGCCATGATGCCCAGGCTGTGTGCCGAGTGTACCGCTACGGGCAGAAGAAGCCATGCCACATCTACAGACTGGTTTCTGATTACACCCTTGAGAAGAAGATCTATGACCGTCAGATCTCTAAGCAGGGCATGTCAGGTAAGTGTGGATGGACATGTCATTGCACTCCTATTACCTCCTGTAAGTCCTGTTTCTGTGGCTTTCACAACTTCTTTTTTTAAGGTTGAAAACAAGACAGCAAAGAAGTGACAGACGTTATTCCAGGGCTATATTTGATGTTTATGGGTTGGCAGTGACAGGAGATACTAATAGAAATTCGTGGCAGAGCAGTAGAGGTTCTAGAGCCAGCATCCTGCAGCAGGGTTGTGCTACCAGTCCAGTGCAGTGCCCTTTACCATCCCTGCTACTCTCTAGGCTGCTGCAACAGAGACTTGGGAGGTGCTCATCCTATTTTCCCCTGTGCCTGCCTATTACTTGTCTTATGGGCATTGCTTATTAGATAGCTCTATGCCTCCATTTCTCCAGCAGCAGGAGACAGGAAAACAGCTGAATTAAAACATATATTGATACCTTTGACTGAAAGTGCTTATTTAGGAGCCAAAAATAAATAATTCATTTCAGTTCTGACCTGTACCAAGAGTATCTTTTGTGCTAGTTCATACCAACTGTGAAGCTGCTCTCATAGAACATGCAGCTGGGGGTTGTGGTGACTCAAAGAGAGCTCAGCTGCCTGTGTTCTTCTTTGCTCAAAAACTAGCTCCAGACACAGCTGCTCAGCATGGTCAACTCAGCATGCTGTCATGCACTCAAGGTGGAGGCCCCTGGCAGCTGGCCTGGCTCCCAGGAGAGTTCTGGAGAGAGATGTTTTCTCCACGTGCTCCCATTTGCCCTGTGTGCAGGAGAGAATGTCCAAGGAAAACATTCAGGCTCTTGTAAGCAAGAGAATGTGGCTGCTTTTCTGGGCTTTCAATTCAACAGAGTTCTGTAAATTGCGGTACCTGGTTTGAGCCTTTTTGATGAGATTTGTGCGAGAACACCTATTGATGTGGCTGCAATTCTGTCACAGGACATGTATGTTCACAGCCTTGTCACATGAGATGGGACACTATGTTAACTAGTTTCATGTTCCTACATACGAGGAGCTCGGTGATCTGCACTGCACTGCTGTGCAGTCTGGAGCACAAGGCACTTGTCAGCCTGACTTGGTCAAACAGGCTCAGCTCTGAACATGAGTGATGATATTTCTCCCTGCCCTGACATTAACAGAATACTCTGAGGATTATGCAGATTGCAAGGAGGGAGCTTTGTTAGGACAGGACTGTAGGAAGGGCTGCAGGCAAGCAGTACATATCTCTTCCCTTTTCTGCTCACTCCATTCCCTGTCTTTTCCAGATCGGGTGGTGGATGATCTGAACCCAGTGCTGAACTTCACCCGACGGGAGGTGGAGAACCTGCTGCATTTTGTGGAAGAGGAATCTGACCCTGCTCAGCTCTCCCTCAATCCAAGCAAGATGAAGGAGTCTGTTCTACAGTTAGCCTGTCTCAAGTATCCTCACCTCATCACCAAGGTAGGACCAGCCTGCTTCCTTGCTGGCACAGCACTGCACAGGTAGGAGTAGGCCTGGAGGAGTCTGATAGTGTGGTGGGGCAGTGATGGCATGAAGGATGCATCTGTGTGCTGGTGGGAATAGGCAGAAAATCCTCCAGAGAAGGTCCAAAGAAACCTGCCCTTCTTCCCTGCAGTATCTCCTATGCCTCTGTCCTGTACAGGTTTGGGGGCAGGTTGTTGGGCACCCAGTAGTTTTCTTCAGCTTGATGCTAGATAGGAAGGTGGTAGCAGTGGCATATCCCAGTTTGTTGCTAGCTGTTTTCCTGGGGTGGCTTTCAAGCAAAGCTGGGACAGGCAGCACTTGCCTGTGTTGTCAGGATTTCACTGATAGGGTGGTGCTTCTGAATGGGCCTGTGGCCAGGTGCTGTGGGGCTCTGGTGGCTGTGTGGCATCGTGGCAGACTCTGTGCTTGCACTCTTAACCTGGCCTTTGGCTTGTGGGTTTTGTTGTGTGCTCGTGGTAAGTGATGGCCTTGGCTGGGCAGGCCATGGCTTAGCCGACTGTCACCCTTCAAGCTGAACCTTGGTCACATCTACAGCATTGCCCCACACGTGCTTTGCCGTGGCCAACTCTGCCACCCAGTTCTCCTTCCCTGCTCCAGCCTGGGAGGGAGACAAGCTGCTGCAGGGAGCTGGTGGCTGCCGTTTGGGGTTTGTTGGTTCCCTCTTGTGGTGCCTTGTTGCCAGAACCTTGGTGCTGTGGGGTTGCAGGAGCCTTTTCAGCATGAGTCACTGCTGATCGACCGGAAGGAGCACAAGCTGACCAAGGCAGAGAAGAAAGCAGCCAAGAAGAGCTATGAGGAGGAAAAGCGAGCATCCGTCCCCTACACCCGGCCGTCCTACGCACAGTATTACCCAGCCAGTGACCAGAGTCTGACAAGCATCCCTGCCTTTAGCCAGAGGAACTGGTGAGTACCTGCCTCTTCCCCTTCTTCCCATGGTGTAGCTGTGAAATGAGGGGGCAGGGAACACTTAGCCCTGTCGGGGGGGGCACTGCACTCTTCTCCCTCCTCTCTCACTAGGCGACCAGCGCTCAAGGGTGAGGACAAGCCAGTGGCAAGCGTCCGCCCAGTTCAGTCCACCCCTATTCCTATGATGCCCCGGCATGTCCCCATGGGCAGTGCAGGATCAGCATCTAGTTCCAGCCCTGCTGTCAACTTCCCCATCAACTATCTGCAGCGAGCTGGTGTCTTTGTGCAGAAGATTGTCACCACCACGGGTGAGTTGCTGGTGCTCACAGTGGATTGAGCTGTGATGCCCGTGGTGAACTGAGGACCAGGGTGAGTTGTTGATGCCCACACAGGCTGTGGGCAGATGAGCATCAGAGCCAAAGATACTGCCTCTCTGCATTTTAGGGGTTCCCCTGTGCCTGGAGGACTTTCTCTGCAGGGTGCAAGAGGCATGGACCTTTTGGGTTGTTGGGAGTGAACTTCCCATGATAGGACCTGCAGTACTGTTGCCATGGTCCTTGTTGGGTTTAGGGGAGATGCTGTCTCAGAGTAACATGGCTTTTGCTTCCTTGGAGCCTCTGCTGCCCTCCTGTGCTGCTTAGAAATAAACCCAAGGCTTGATTGTTGCATGGCACATAGGAGAGAACTGTACTGCAGACTAAGGGGTTGGTGGTGCACCTGCCCTCTTCTGTGGCTGGCTTGTAATTTGATGGACACTGTTTTGTTTCTTCTCCCACTGCCAGATATTGTGATTCCGGGTACAAACACATCCACTGATGTACAGGCAAGAATCAGTGCTGGCGAGAGCATCCACATCATCCGAGGGACAAAAGGTAAGTGTCTCTGTCCTGGTAAGACTTGTGGATAGGGTCCTAGCCAGTGCTGGTTAGCAAAGAAATGGATATAAAGGAATGAATCAGTCCCTTGAGAGGAAAAGAAACAAGAAATGGGAGGAGGTCTAGAGTCTGCAGTGACTCTATTGCAGCCCATGCTCTGGGTGTGCTAATGCTTCAGGGCTGTTGCAGGTGTGGCTGCTCATGCCCCTGAGAGGAGCTGTTGAGTTCTGTGGCTGGGGGTTTCCTTCTCACAACACCTTCTGCATGTACTGGGGCAGCTAACTGCTCCTTGGTGCTCCCAGAGCAAACTTAGCCTCAGGTGTAAATTTCCACATTTCCCTCTTGGCAGCACAATGGGTGTGGGTGAGCTCCAACCCAGGAAAGCTGAAAGGGTGGAACTGGGGAGTGAGGAAGGCAGCAGAAGCCCCACCACTGATCTCCCTGTGGGATCTGGGCTGGCCTTAGGCAGCAGTACCCTATTCCTGCCCAAGCATCCTCCCAGACTCATGGATCCTGAGCTGAGACAGGAGTTGTAATGCAGTTGTTGAATGAAGTTGTTCTGCTTGTGTTCCAGGGACATATATCCGGACCAGCGATGGGCGGATTTTTGCTATCCGGACCACTGGGAAGCCAAAGGGCAATGAAGACCGTCAGACAGCTGCCTCAGGTAGGGACTCATGAGTGCTGTGTGGTGCTTGCACATGTGGTTTCCTACTCTAGTGTCTGGGGCAATGTTCCCTGGTGTGTTCCATCACGCCTGTGTTTAGAGCTGGCCCCACAGTTTTGCCGTGATATCCCCACCTTCCTTTCTGCTGTTGCTTCCTGGCCCTCAGGTTTTTCTTCGAGGTTGTCTTTATCACCTGCTCCATCTCTGTTTCCAGGCTCCCAGAGCTCTTCCCTGGAGTCCACAAGCAATGGCAGACACAGTGCCTCATCACCACAGCTCCCCAGTGCGGAGGAGCTCACTCGGCCCATATCCCCCGACAGCCCTGAGATCATCAGTGAGCTGCAGCAGTATGCAGAGGCGGCGGCAGCCCGGGAGTCACGGCACAGCTCTCCCAGCACCAACACGGCGCAAGGCCACGCTGCCCGCGCGGACAAC